GTGGAAGAGGAAGAAGTAGTTGAAAAGGAAGAAGTAGTAGAAGAGGAAGAAGTAGCAGTGGAGGAAAGAGAGGGTAGAGGGGTAACCTTCTTATAACCCTTGATATTCATATTTTCTTATTATATGCAACGCGTACAATAAGCGGGCATTGGTCCCCAGCATTTGTTTTCACTTCCCCAAATCGAACATATCTATTTTTGTAAAATAAAAAGTTATCTGCTAGTGCCTATAGGGTCTAGCCGTCCTATATAGTCTTAGACTGAAGATGGACGTAAATTAAATCAATCAATCAATCAATCAACCGATTATCTCATAGCGCCGGTTCCGAGCCGAAAATGTAGATCAAGATACAAGATATATAAGAAATCCAGGGCATATTGACAATTGGTAGGTGGAATTCTCCGGAGGCTTGTTGGAGTGTTATGGCAGTGTGAAACGGAAAACTTCGTCATTCTGTATTGTACTTCAGAATAGATCGACCCCTTAGCTTTTGTTTCGAGGGAGGAGCTGATTAATTAATTAATCTCGCATAAAGTTTTTTTGATATTTGCTGATTAGATTTGAGATGATGCTTATGATTGCCTAGGAGACTGGTATAAAGTAGAGTTTTAAGTTACGAAGAAAAGCAAGCATCTGGAACCGATGGAAGTTCACATGTTATATATCATGGTATTGCAAGTATCACCTTTGATGCATCTCATTCCCATTAGTATACTTGAAGTTAATTCACGATAAGGGATGTGTCAATCTGTGCATTATATGAATGAAAAACAGTAATCTTATCAATTGGATATAATTCTTCCCTCATTGCGTTTTGATTCCTATTTGTACTTGAATAGGATAGTGAGCAGACCTCAAAAATGATAGATAATTACTGATTAGCCTTTGACTTCAAACCCCTGAGTAAGATCGAAATTTTTGTGTTTTGTAACACGATCATCTCCCATTCTTTGGCGATGTACACCTCCATCTTTTTGTTACCCTCCTGTCTAAAACTTTCTTGGTAGTTTTGTTACTACCAATGGAATAATCGTGAGGATTGTATTGTGGTTTTGATCTCTCTGAAATCTTAGATGAACCTGAATTGCGAATATCTTCATCTCTATCACTTGTAAGGTCAACAACGTTGGTCGTATCTCCGAATGTGACCAGTTGGTGTTTTTCTTCTCGATTGTCCGTTACTCCTGATGCGACTGGTTGAAGCAGTAAGACACGATTCTTCGAATCGATTTGTTCCTTGATAATATTCTCTAAGCGCCGATAAATAGCTTCAAGTTTGATATTCGCGCCCTCAAGCTTCTCTTGTAGAATCTTCCTCGAGTCCTTGGACGCTGTGAGTTTTGTTTGTATCTGCTCCTTCTTGATAATCGAAGTTTGGATTTGATCTTGTATATCGCTTTCCGCTCGAGACCAAGTCTTCAGTCTGTGCTCAAACATAGTAAGGTGGATATCCAAGTTTTTATTCGCTTTCTTGCTGAGTTGCAATTCCTCCTCTGTAGTTGCAAATAGCTTCATTTGTTTCTCAATCTCTCGATCTTTCTCTTTCAACAGGTATGCAGACTTCTGGCAATTAGTTTCAAGCTCGATAATCTTATTTCGAAGCACCCATTGATGATGTTCCATTTCATAACTACCTCTGTACCAGCATTTGTCAAGTATCTCTCTAAAATTGCGCAAGGATTCCGCCCAATCTGGAATTGGCGTAGGTTTTTTTGATTTTGGATTCCAGGTGCTTCTCCACGAATATGACTCTCTCATATCACAGAAATGATATGTGAGGCCTTGACATCTAACAAGCTCATAAAGAGTGTCGGCTGTATTGTTTATTTTGATCAACGTAAATAGTACTTGCTCTCCAAGTTTCTTTGCAAAGCTCGAAGCCGATCGCTTTCCTGAGCTGATGACATCGTAAGTTGTATCCATCAAAGGAAGTAATCCAAGGATGTCAAACGGATTAGCTTGCTGTAAGTCCGCCATATGGAAAAATAATAATTGAGCTCCTAAATTTGAATTCAAAAAATGGGGAATTATTACAATATTTTGGTTGCGGCTTTTAGTAATGCTGTGGGATTGAATGGGTCTTTAATCAACGACATATTCCTGTACAGACTACAACACACATTCCTTTCCCAATCAAAATATAACATGCACCTAATTTCAAGCATTTGGATGTAAAGTATTCCGTCAGTAATAAATCACGTTTGAGTACTATTTTAAGACTGTGATTTTTGAATCATGTAATGTTAGGTTCAAATGATTTAATCACGAAAGAATCAAAAACTATTCCCCTTAGAGTTCTATTACCCAAATCCTGTGCAATTAAGAATAGACTTTGTTTCTAGACACCAAGAATCATTACTGTTGTATCCATATATGGAATTCTCATTATTGTTCCATTTCCCTTTGTATTCGCCTAAAGGTCTGGTATTCATAAAACCGAGTTGTTTTGGCTGATATACCTGAATTCGCGAGCTAGGGAAAGATTTCCGTTTTCTGATCTTTGGATCGGTTTAGTTGGTTTAGTCGGCCCTTAAGCTAGTTCAATCTTCAAGATAACTCTACCGAAGATTATACCATCGAATAGATCTACAATAGATTGAGTTATATGATAAGTTTCAAAGTGTATAAAAGTATATAGCCTTTGCTTCCCATCCGAATCAACTGAATTAATGCTGAGATTCTGTAAAGTATAGAAGGGATCTTTGGAGGAGGCTTTACCGAGACCTTTGGTGACGATTTCGGAGTAGATAAAAGTTTTGAGTGCGATGGAAGAGGTTCCAAATAGAAGTGAGGGGATATCTACTTGATGTTTGACTATGGCCATTGACTTGGTTGCCGAGATTGTCGAGATGGACATATTCAAAGGATGATTCTGATAATATACGAGTTGATGGGGAGGGAGAGGCATATCGTGCACATAAGTCCAGCTGGTCTCATTTCGACTATCTACACATAAAAATTGGCCTTGAAACTTTTCCTTCTCCAAGTGATTTATATCTTTGTTAATTGTTATAAACAAGCTTCAAAAATTGTAAAGATATACCCAAAGTTCTACAGAAGTTCTCTTTTCCATAAACAAGGACCCAGCCGCATATAGATAGTAGATAAACCTGAATATACTTTATAATATAGCGACTTTTACCCTGAGCATCTGGATTTTGAGCGAACTTTTTAAGCATCCGCCAAGAACAAATCCATAGTAGGTTGCTAACAAGTATATAATAGAGGCCAATGTGATTACCTGATGGAACTTCAGTCATAATGGTGTTGAGTATCTGAGGTTCACAAATGTATGGCAGAAGTGAAAGAAGTGAACGCTTCATGTGTTATATATTATTGTATAGTATACCGTTTGGCAATTGATGTACAGTGGTTTGAGCTAGGATTAATATAAGGAACCATGGGAGAGTGTGCGGCATTACAGAGCAACGGACTGAGATGAAATGCAAATATGTTGTAATACGGATAGTAAGCACTTGAATGATTCCAGGACTTCCCACGGATATCCAAAAGTTCTTTGTTATTCAATATAGATATACCTGGTATTATATCAATAAGAATTTTCAACTATATTCAGATATAAGGTATACTTATATTCAATATTTCCCTTTGCTAAATAACTTGAATTAATAGAATTGATATTTTTATATCTATCTATAACTATTTCAATTATAATTTCGAAATCTAAGATTATAGATTTATCTGTTATATTTATTAAGGAAAGTTTATTTATATTCAGAAACTTGTTAATATTGTTTACAAAGTATT